AACAACTTACGAACTTCCACTCTGGATCAATACTGATGGCAAAGTTAATGAACTTCCACTATGCATTTTACTTCTTCGATTAGGGCTCGAAACAATTACTCTTCAATCGAAATTTGATTTCCTTTCACGACTCACTGAATAGGGATCCTATCTTCAACATTATAGAGATATGATTTGTAGGGATTTTGGGAGAAAGGAGGTCGAGTATGATTAGAAATTTTGGGGAAAAGGGGTCGACGGTTGAAGAGAAAGAGAGAGAGTTCGTTATTTTTAACCGGACTTTGATGGGGTAAAACTACGTTATTTTTAACCCAAACAGACGCTCATATCCATTAGTTTTGCAAATTCTGTTACGGGATAGATTAAAATTGTACACTTTTACAAAGATAGGGGATATTTATATTTAATAGTATAGATAAAGGGTAAAAATAATCCTACAGGCATAGTTAAAGGATTTTCTAAGTCTTTTCCTCTCATTAATTACATATTTTAACAACTCCACTAAATAATCAATTAAAGGTTAAATATATTTATAGAATATCACAATGACCAAAAAATATATATTTTGGTACGTCTGTACGTGTGTATAGGATTCTTGGTTAAGTTTTAAGAATTTACCCAAAATGTCCAATTAGTATTGAAAGCAAGCCAATAAAAAGCTGTAGATTACCGAAGAAGGCTCCCTTAAAACCCTCTTCCTATATAAACCCCTACTCACTCTCCAATTTCGATTCGCTTTCGCCCCCTTTTACATCACTCCTCTCCGCCCTTCCCGTTCTCTTCCCCTTCGTTCCCTTTCTGGGTAAGTTCACTTTTCGATCATTTTTTATTTTATTATTCTGTTCTCTTTTATTTATATAATTTTGTCAATTTATTGTGTGTTTTTTTTCGAAATTTATATGTGGTGATTTAAGGGTTTGACATACTTCGATTACTTTCTTCTTTCTTCTGTGTTCTTTTATTTGTTGTTATATACATTGTTGCTGATTTATTTTTCTGACTTTATTGTGTTTTTTTTAGGTCGAGGTTTAGGTTTTTTCAATCTAGGGGTTGATGACTCCTCTTATTTTCCTGTTATTTTCTGATCTCTCGTTGTGCCGATTATTTTTTTATCTGTGGTGGTGCCGATTGTTTTCCTTTCTAGTATTGTCTATTTCTGTCTTTTAGCCTAGTGAAATTTTAGTTGTGCTCATCTGTACGGGTCAGCGTTTATGTTTGACCATTAGGGCTTAAATTGTGAAGTGGATTCAATTCACAAACATTTCATGCTGCAATCTCACTTTAGTATTAATGGTCTCTAGAGGCGGATCCGGGATGGGTTCAGATTTGTAATTATACCACCTCCATCTAATATACTGGAAGTTATGGGTTCAGATTTCGAACATGTTGGGGAAAAAAATGGAACTTTAACACTAGACTATGACAGCTTGACCATATACTTTTGTGAAGATCAGTGTTTGCTCAGTTGTTTTATTGTCATCTTGGTGTTTGTCAATCTGCTGTTTAGGAGGAGGGAAAGAAATACTAATACTTAAAATGTTACGTGACACTCCAATTTAGCATTGGAACTCCAAATTTAATTTAACTTTTTTTTCTAATTAAAAGTAACTGATAGTCTTCCAGAAGACATGAGGTTTAAACTAATAGGATTTTAAATCCTTAGAATAATAAAATACCAAGTATTTTTTTTGTGCATTGCTATATTGCTTGAAACATATAGTATTTGTATATTTATATATTCATTATTTTTTTATATTAATGATGAATAATATTCTAGAATTTAGTATTATATTAATTATTTTACATAACGCGCGTGCGCGCACACACACACACATAACTGCAAATGTAACTTAAGCGGCCTAACTTTAAGAGGAGATGGAGATGGGAAAGTCCCAATGCAAATGCTTCAACGTTTCATTAGGAAATCTTTCTCTTGTACTTGGTCAAAGATCGGTGGCTCACAAAAGAAATATTGGGGAAAAGTGATAGAACAAGAAAACGGTTAATTCATTAGCCTGTCCACTAGCAAGTTGGAAAGAGAAAAGCGTAAAATGCTGGTGAAAATCAGATATGTTATTTGACTTTTACCATCTAACTATCCTTTCAATACCAGCATGTATATTGATGATAACAAAGGCATGTGTATTAAACAAATCTCCAGTTGCTTATTCTGTTAACTATTTCTATACAAGTCTACATTACGTAAAAGATACTTACTCAAACGGCTGTAAAGTACTGACAGTTAACACCTCATTGCTTCCTAACCCTCTCCACTATTCATTGGCCTATTTGCTTTCCATATAGCAAGAAGATATCTCATCTCAAATATCGAGAAGACAACAAACTTTAAGAACGCAGCAGTTGCATAAGCATTGAAAAGGGATTCTGCAAAAGAATTAAAGGTAGCGACACATTTTTCCATAAGAAATCATTGACCAGCTTATACTTATAAAGACTTCATTAACAGAGCAAGAATCGGATATAAGTTTGGAGAGACTTCTATGAAGAAAAACTACATAAAAGTGATACTTGAGAGTCAAGGGTAGGGCTTCATTGACAATATCCAACAACATAAGTTTGTTATGAGAAAAGAGTGAACACGTTAAGAATGTCAATCATTTGAAGAACCATCTATATAAACTTTTAACAGTGCCACTTTCAAAGTGGCAAATAACGCAGAAGAATATGACATAGGTATGACTTGCATTCTGACCGCAGAACGCCTGATCACCAGAGGCGGATGCTGAGTATCGGTTCCGGGTTCACTTGAACCCGACACTTTCAACGCAAAGTATATATTTGTGTAAACATTCATGAAAACTTCAACAAATAGTATATATGAACCTATAACTTTTGAAATCTCAAGCTTTCTAGTGTTTCTATTCAAATTTGTGAAGTCGAACGATCAACTTGCTAATATTTTCGCCAAGTCCCTCACTAGTCCTCATATTAGTTATATATGTAACAAGCTCGGTACATATGATTTATATGCACCAGCTTGAGTGGAGTGTTAGTTTGATAGTTAAATAGTACTCCCTTTGCTCTAGTTTATGTGAACCTATTTCCTTTTTGGTCCGTTCCAAAAAGAATTAACCCTTTCTATATTTGGTAACAATTTAGCTTAAAGTTACAACTTTACCCTTGATGAGAAACTTTTATAACCACACAAATACTCTAGGGCCCATTTGGACTTGTTTAAGACCACAAATTCCAAAAGTCTTCATTTTTTTCTTGAACTCCGTGCCCAGTCAAACATGTTCACATAGATTGGAACAGAGGGAGTGGTAAATAACCATAAACGCATATGTTTTAGGAGTAGTACATGTATTATATATATATATGACTCATTGTCAATATTAAGCAATAATATTTTTCTCCCGTGCATTCTCACACTTTTCACCTTTGAAAATTTCCAAAAATTAATAATTTCACAAACGCAAAAGGGAGATTTACACCACATGACAAAATTGAAACCACTATCTCATGGAGAAGCACATAAGTACAAATTCACAATAAAAAAGGAGAAAAGGGATACTGGAGTATACTCAAGTATTTGTGTGCAACTTCCTTTAAGCACAAGAGCAAACACAAAGCATTGGTTATCCGACATCACAAAATTCTTTGATCCCATTACAAAAAGAAAGTATGTCTCTATGGATGTTACTTGATTTTCAAATCAACCATGATTGTTGACTCAACATTGATTTCGTGCTTGAGTTGGAGGGCTCTCCCTCCATCCATCGAGTCAAGTAATTCGCTATCGGATTTTTGCTACTTAGTTCACAATTCCAAATGAGCGAATATGGTAGAAAAAGGGCTTAGTTTTTTTATCTGAAACAGGAACAAGAAAGCTTGAGACTCCATTTCGCTATAGAAGAATGGACATTAACGAGTACGAAAGGAGCAATATCAGTCATTTTCGTTGGAAATAAATAAATAAATGAAAATTCGACTAGTCATACCTACTTCGGCGATAGATGAAATTAGCCAGCCAATTTCCCGGTGGAAATCATATCAGAATTAGGGCACGAAACAAATTAACCGTAAATTCAAAGTGGTTATCCAACGAGAATCAAGACAAATGAGTTGAATATAGAAAAATTAAGAAATTATATGTTACGAGTAACGATGTGATTTATACCGGAGACTTTTGGGGCTTACCGTTTGATGATCGGAGATACCGTCGACGAAGAAAATAGTTGAACCTGGAGAATCACCAAAAGGTGTAGTAGCAGTAGTAGTAGTTTAGTCGAATGGAGGGTTCGCTGTTTTTCTACTCTTGTATCTGCAAACCCCGGAACAGGGACAAGATTTCAAGACATGGATGTATGTTTATTTGAGCTCTTATAAATGATCCTCAACAATAGACTTGGAGTTGTTTTTTATTTTTTCGGCTTTTCTGCAGTAATTTTTTTTCTATTTTTGCCCTTTTCTACTATTATATTTTCATTTCAGACTTTTCTTTTCAATGAATTGCCCTTAAATGGTTCAACGCCAATTTCAAAACGGACTTTATTTTCGTTCTTGATGATGCAAGAGAAAATAGTTTCAGTTTGGCATAACAAGTGGCATATTTAGAATTTTTGGAATATGGATGCACCACTAAAAAGGTAGAAAAAAATTATTAAGTGGGAATCGATTCATATTTCGAATAATTTAATATTCAAGCAAGTGCATCATTCGTATTTTTGGAGCATGAGTACCAATACATAATATTAGATAAATTCTAGAAAATATGTGCATAAAATATCTAGTTTGGTGGAAAGACTATGGATTCATGTAACCCTATGATTTAGGCTATACATCCGCCCCTGGACATAACTTAATACTAAAGAAAAATATATTACATCTTACTTTGGTGAAAGTAAATCTTCAAATATTTTAATATACTAGTTTTAGAGTCGTGTGTATATATATATATATAGATAGATAGATAGAGAGAGAGAGAACCAATTAACTAAAGCTTAACTAAATGGAATGTGGGATATGGATGCATCACTTATTATTTACCTGTAAAACGATATATTTAAATTTGTTATGTAGTTTATACTCCAGCAAATTGATTTGATCCAAAAATGATAAAGAGATGGGATTAAAATTAAGATTTAACAATTGAAATTAAAGAAACTGAGATGATTGAGACAGTCTTGGTTAATTGGTTCTATATATGTATGTATGTATTATGTACAATACACGACTCAAACTAGTATATTAAAATATTTGAAGGTTTACTTTCACCAAAGTAAGATATAATATACTTTTCTTAGTATTAAGTTATGTCCAGGGGCAGATGTATAGCCTAAATCATAGGGTACATGAATCCATGGTCTTTTCGCCAAACTAGATATTTTATGCACATATTTTCTAGAATTTATCTAATATTATGTATTGGTACTCATGCTCCAAAAATACTAATGACGCACTTGCTTGAATATTGAATTATTCGAAACGATTCCCACTTAATAAATTTTTTCTACTTTTTTAGTGGTGCATCCATATTCCAAAAATTCTAAATATGCCACTGGTTATGCCAAATTGAAACTATTTTCTCTTGCATCATCAAGAACGAAAATAAAGCCCGTTTTGAAATTGGCGTTGAACCATTTACGGGCAATTCATTGAAAAGAAAAGTCTAAAATGAAAATATAATAGTAGAAAAAGGCAAAAATAGAAAATAAATTACTGCAGAAAAGCCAAAAAAATGAAAAACAATTCCAAGTCTATTGTGGAGGATCATTTATAAGAGCTCAAATAATAATACATCCAGGTCTTCTAATCTTGTCTCTCTTCTAGGGTTTGCAG